CACTTGTTCCTTCGTATGGTCCAGGAGAATCTCTAATTTAAATGCTGGAGGCTGCAGAAAAAATGCTAATGAACCGAACCTAGCAGCCTCATTTACCCATATGAAATCACTACCAGTGGATAATTCATTCTCCTGGAAAATAGAATAATAGTGATGTAGTACACAGAACACAATGCTGCCTTCTAATAAGTCTGACAGGCAGATTGCAGTGTATATTTAGTCTGTATTAGCTAGCCAGCAGTTTCAAATGCTTTTATGTGCAGACCCTTGTTGCTCAACTCGTGCTCTTTGCTGGTTGAACTAAACTAATTAAAGAAAAATGTACTGTAGCTGAGAAGTCCGAAAAAGCTAAAAGCAGCCTTTCTAAACAAATTAACTCTCCCAAATGAACAGCTTTCAATACTTTTTGCAGAAATGAAAATCACTTCGGGTTTTTTTGGGAATGGACGGGGTGATTATGCTATATTTTTTTCAGAATCTTGGGTTCATAAACATGGACCTTTATTGCAGACTATAAGCAATCAAAAAGACTTGCATTACCTGCTCTTACAGCATAAATTGACAGTTCTCTTGAGACAAAGGGTACTAGTCATTTAGTGCATGATATATGGACTGTAGCCTCTGAGCACCTGCACTTCTGATGTGTGTTTAAAGGTTTAAAGCTCAGTGTGGCTGAAAGCGTGCAGTGCCTGAGGGTTGCCTCAGTGGAATTCTTGGAGCATGTAACCAATGGAGGACTCTGCTGCTTCTCATTTGGTGTGCGTGCGAAATGCTGCCCCTCTGCTTAGGCTGATGCAAGCTGCCAGGCAGAGGACATCTGTGTCCTTGATGGCTGCAGTGGGACTATCTCCCGTTTCAGGTGCTGGAGTGCTGCTCAGGATCTGCTTCGCTCCAGGCCAGTAAATATGTAAGGGCTTTTGCGAGGAGTGTGTTACCAGTAGAATTAATGCCAGGTGTTGTAGAGCTGTATATACAGCCTGCCAATCAGTTTGAAGGCCTTACAACTATGGGAGATAAGTTCCAGACCCAGAGGATGTCCTCTCCACACTTGCACAGCTGCCCAGGGACCACATATGGATGGGGGTGGGGTCTGTGCACTGAATTGCTCGGCAGAAGCACCCTCTAGATCAGTCTGTTGGTGAAAAGATGGTTCTGGTTTCACTGGTGCTCCCACATACCTAAAGGAGTTCTTTCCATGTCCTCTGCCATCCCACGGGTTGAAAAAGAACCCAAAAATACCAATTTCATCTATTTATATGAAGATTTCTTGTTTCTTTTTTGGATATTTTGTTCTGAAGAGCAGATTAGCTCTCTGAAGCAGTGAACTTGTGCTTTTGTCTCTCCAAATTGCAAACACTGCATGTATTTGGGACTGTCCTGATGTGTGTTCATTTGGTTTGAACCATTGCAGAGAGACTTGGGCAGGTTCAGGCTCTGTCTTAGTCTGTCTGAATTTGACTCGAGTAGCCTTTTCTGATCATCTCAATGGTGAAAACTGGCTCAGAGTAGGAAAGCTTTATCTGTGAATGTAATGTAGAGGCAATATCTCGCTACTGCCTTGAGCAGCACTTGAAGTTGAAATTTAGAAGCTGCAGCATTCAGCTCGTTCACTCTGCAACCTGAGTTTGAAAGATGCGTATCCGTTTGGTGTTCGAAGAAATATTGGCACAGTGTGCTGTTGAATGCTGGCCCACTTCAACTGCTGATGGAAAGATAAAACACGTTTTGCTCTTGGCTGGCTTCCTTGCTTGCTGATGCTAATAACATCACGAGCTCAGCATTTCAGGGGTCATCTTGAAAGAAGCAGAGACCTGAATCCCCCCAGTTGCACCTTCCTGATGTTGTTACCATTTTGGGGAAACATTGCTGGGTCAGAGACCATTGGTTGCACGTCAGCAAAGTGGGTGCCAGGTGACTGCAAGGGCTGCTGCACAGTGGGAGTCATGATCCGAAGCAGGATAGCGATGGTTCTCCTGACTGGCAGGTTTCTCCGTGCACATCTCTTCATTTTGCACTTGTGCTAAAGGTCAGACTGAAAACCTTCAGAACTGCAGCTTTCACAACCACTTTTATAGGATACAAGGCAGAGGCATATCTGGTCACATATGTGTAGGCACATCTTTATTGTCCTCTAGGAAGCTTTGTAGTCTCTTCATCATTTTGTAGCACCCCAGGGAGCTTTTCTGTCTCTGCCAATTAATTTGCTGTGGTTATTTCAATTTTGTTCACAACCTGCTTGACAAAAACTCTAGACTCTTACATCAAGGGAGGGAAAACACAAAGCTGGTCTGGATCACAAGTAATACTAGGAGACATAATGCTTAGCCATAAAAACTGCATATATGCCTATAAGCTGATGCATGGAAAACTCAAGTGCTTCCTCAGCTGCCTGCCACTATGAATGTTAAAGATGATAGAAATAAACTTTAATTTGTTCATTAATGTAAAAATCAAACAACTGCAAAGTCAGCTTTTACTATAACTCACTGAGAGTGGTTTAGTAACAACTACTTGATGCCAGTTATTTCTTGATATGTTATTGTCCCACATGGAAAAGTGATGACTTTCCTCTAGTCCCATAATGGGAATTTGTGTTTTTAGCACCTGAAGATGGAGACTTTGGTTTTGCCTGGACACCCAAGAGAGATGGAAGAAAGTGGGGCAACACATGGTGTCACTAGTGGAAAGT